CGTTTTGGTGACCCTTTGTCAGATGATGAAGTTGCTAAAAATTGCTTCCCAGGTTTTACAATTGCAATTGTAAAACCTGGGGAGCAATTGTAAAACCTGAGGAGCAATTGTAAAACCTGCTGAGTGGCCTTACTACAAAAGAAAGGTCGTCTGGGAGATAGTTACAACACCATGATAGGTTTATAAGCAGGCACCATACCACTGTGATGTTGTCAGTGGAGATGGCGAGTTGGGCGTTTCAGAGGTGGTGTTTCGGAGGTGCTCCTGCTAATGTGAGATAGCCAGTCTGAGCTCCTCCAACTCAAGGTTGTTCATGTACCACATGCACTGTGCGCCGGCTCACAGCCCTGGCGCCATCTGGTCCTATAGATGCGCACACCAACTTTGCTTCTATGAATACGTTTGACAATGGTCCTGTGCTGATGTGAGCAGTCCCAGTAGCACTTGCCACTGGTGAACTGTTATGGGCTGCTGAAAGGCAGGAGACAGATGGTGTAGGATATAAATCCATCTGTCCCTTGGCACTGTTAGGAGGTCCAGATCTGTCTGGAAAAGGCCTCCTTTGAACTGGAGTCAGAAGGAGGGAATGAATTCTGAATTTGCCTCGTCCACTATCCAACCCAATCGATATAATAGGCGCCTAGTGAAATCTAAGTGACGGGTTAAGGTCACCGCATCTGGATGATTCAGTATGCAATCGTCTATGTCATTCAAACTGGATGCTCCTCAGGTGGTAAGGCGGGTAAAAAACAATAGGGCCACTGAAATGGTAGGGACGCCTATTGATAGTGGATACCATTGAACTGGTACCTGAGGAACCGCCAGTTGTTGGGGTGGATAGGAACATGCAGGTAAGCATCCTGCAAGTTGAATCTGATCAGAGAATCATGAGCATTGATGCTGCCCCTGAGCAGTCTCAAGGCTGTGAGATGGAAACACAGAGGATGCACTGTTGTGAATAAAGTGCATTTTGTTGGAATCCCTCTTTGGTAGATGGAAGATGGAAGATGGAAGAGTAGAATCCTGGAGTTAAGGCTGTTTCTGCACATATGGCCCTCTTCTCCAACAGGGTTTTATGTTGGAACCCAATGGCTGATCAAGCTGTTCCTGGGGTAGAGCCAGAGAATGGGTGCCTTTGTCAACGGTGGGTCTGCCAACAAGTTGAGGCATTACCTGTACCTTATGATGTTGAGAGCATAAGGGTCTGCCATACCAATCCAATTTCTCCAAAACAGGCCTAGTCTCCCACCTACATTTGTGTCAACTACAGTGATCCCTCGCTACAACGCTACCTTCGGGGTCCAAATAACAGATGAGCGTTATATATGATCAGCAGTTTAACGAAGCTTAAGTCGTAGGTGGTAGATGACCAACAAAACAGTATACATGCTCTGCCTACCTAACACGATCTACGTTGCACGTTTCAGAGTTTAACAAGTATTTGTCACAGAGTGACGAAATATCCCCCGCCATATACACCATAGTACCAAATATGAAGACAATCCAGCGATTAGTTCTTGAGATATTGTGGCAACACCGTTTTCCAACTCCAAAAACAGATTTGCCTGCTGTGACCTTGAAAATGGGGTCAAGGTCACCAAATCTGACAGGTGTATGCAGTGTCTGTATATACACTATAGTTCCAAATATGAAGACAAGCCAGCGATTAGTTCTTGAGATATCGCGGCAACACCGTTTTCTAACTCCAAAAGCAGATTTGCCTGCTGTGACCTTGAAAATGGGGTCAAGGTCACCAAAACCGACTGGTGTCTGCGGTGTCTGTATATACACCATAGTTCCAAATATGAAGACAATCGAGAGGTTTAGTTCTTGAGATATCGCGGCAACACCGTTTTCCAACTCTAAAAGCAGATTTGTCTTCTGTGACCTTGAAAATGGGATCAAGGTCACCAAAACCGACTGGTGTCTGCGGAGTCTGTATATACACCATAGTTCCAAATATGAAGACAATCCAGTGTTTAGTTCTTGAGATATCGCGGCAACACCGTTTTCCAACTCTAAAAGCAGATTTGTCTGCTGTGACCTTGAAAATGGGATCAAGGTCACCAAAACCGACTGGTGTCTGCGGAGTCTGTATATACACCATAGTTCCAAATATGAAGACAATCCAGTGTTTAGTTCTTGAGATATCGCGGCAACAAACAGGTGGGACGTACGGACGGACGGACGTACGGACGGTCGTGAATACTATATCCCCCGCTTCGCGCTTTCGCGCGGCGGGGGATAAAAAAAGATTAGGATAGAAGTTATTTATATTACATAGTGTAAAAAAAGATTTATCGAGTATTAATATGTGCTTTAAAAAAAACCCATTGTATCCCTTCAATGAATTCAGGTGAATAAACAGGTATAACAAACTTGGTCAATATGATATAAAACCGACGGGTATGCAGGATATTTTTACATATGGAACAATTTGACCAGTCACCCTAGGGACTTCCCGTGCTACATGTATTTCGATTGAGAAAACGTTATGTTGACATTTAATAGTCAAACTGCCTAAAATATGACTTTTAGCGAGTCATGGTAAGGCATTTATGATATGTGTATCCATTCTCCTCGTTTCAAGGCATCAACAGCGGTAATCTAACCATGGTTGCTGTAAATAAAGGTGAGTTGTGCCATCTACCGACCACTTTGCAGACGATTATAATATTGTAAACATTATCATAATTATTGAATGAAATTTTGAATATAATAAATATATTGCAAACATTAGTCCAGATAAACAATGAACATTTTTTTTTAAACCAGATATTACAATAATAGGATTAAACTTCAATTCAGATTTGTTGACTGGTATTTGTGGTGTTAAGTGATCGCGGTGATCAGCTGATAATGTTTACTGAGAGAGGGGAAAACATTGTGTCATTGGAAAACTTGAGTTTATTAAAAATGTTAGTAAATTTTGGGAGCCATCGTTTACAGTGCGCTATAACCGAGTGAGTGCTATATCGAAGATGGCAATAGTGAGGGAACACTGTATTGGGATGACTGGTGGTGGGAGATCCCAATTGTGATTGTCCACTGCGTCAATGTTTCACCCTTGGGTCCCTGCTCCTAACCTGGGAATTCCCCTGTGAGATTGATAGGAGCCTTGGCCTCTGCCCTTACCTTGTCCTTTGCCATGAAAGGAAAATTGATCAGTAGTCTGGTCCTTGCCTGGCCAAAGTTCTGGGATACATGGTCCAGAGACTTGAACATTGTCTCGCTTCAAGCTATACCTTGGTTTGCGTGTCAGTGATTTGGCCATTGAAAAGTGTTGAAGCTGACCACGGCTGACAATCCCAATTGGACAAGGCCAGATACCCTAGATGACGGGTGGCGGTGATCTCAGCTAAGGCCGCCTTGAAGTGATTGTGCATGTGGACAATCTGCCTCTGTTGAAAACCCACTACTGTCTGGAAGTGATCAATCCTGTTGGCTTTGGTCTTGGTAAGATCTTGATCCATGGCCTGAGATGATGAGGCTCAACGGGTTTGAGGGACTGTCTCATATCCGTCTCTATGAAAGCGAAGCAGCTGTCAGGGATTGGCTTCACACATCCTATGGAGATCCAAGTTGTGATCATGGTTTGCCACCCCAAAGGTGTCTATGGGAAAATCATCCCTTTTGAATTTTGGTGCCTTGAACGCTGGAGTGAGGGAGAGAAATCCTCATCAAACGACCTGACCATATCCTTCAGAATGTGATCAGGTTGGATGGAAGTAGGGTGAGACCATATAGTATCCCTCTTGAACTGAGCCAGCAGAAGGCGCTACCGCTGATAAGCAGTCTGCCAGCCAATCTGGCATCTGAGCAAGGCCGAGGTGCGCATCCCTCTCTAAGGAGTTATCGAAAGACTCAGCAAATGACACTTCAAAGGAGTCCGATAAATAGTCCTCTTAGCAGCGGACAGGAGAGCGGCTCCTGGAATGTCGCTTGGACCTTGACGGATGGTCTGGAAGACATACTGGGAGATAATGAACCCCGAGATGTGATCCGTGATGAGGATCGGGTACCCAAGCCCACCCTGGTTGCAGCCATAGATGTAAAGGGGGATGAGACAGTCACCAAAGTCTGTTTAGCAGGCGATGCCAGAGGCACTACAGGTGCTAGAGGTGTAGGTAGGTGCTGGCGTTTGAACAAGGGAGAGGTGCATGTGATTGCTGAAACATGGCCTGAGTAAAAGGCAAAACATTGTGAATTGAGCCGCCGACTCCATCAAGGTAGTGATGCTTGATGGCACAGGTCTAGTAGAGGCATAGGCAACTACAGTTGTTGGCTGCACTTGGGCCGTAGAGGCTGGTGTAGACATAGCCATAGCGCTTTGAGCTTGGGTCATGTGAGGCGACTGCAGGACGTCGGAGGTCCTCATAGGCATGGATGACACCCAACCTGAAGCAGAAGGTTGGGCAGAAATTACCAGGGAAGTCTGCACTGAAACAAAGAATGTGTGTCACGAAAACTGTGACACGTTAGCAAATTCAAGATAGTGGAATGGAACAACAATAAGTGAAAAAATGTGACAAACTATCACCTTCACTTGTAATAAATTTTGTTGCATATAAACGTCAAACCCGGGTACCACCTGTCACAGGGAGAGATAGACTTGGTTGTTTGAAAGCTTGAAGACCACGGGTACAGCCAAAACAGCAATAAGCTGGGGACCAGTTTAGAAGCACAACTTGTCTGTCTGGTGACTAACAGTAATATGGAGATCCGTAACATCCCTACTTCTGGTATCCGTGGCAGCTGATGATTGGAGCATGGCTTCTGTAAATGGAACAACTTTTTCTCTTCAACTAGACCAATCACAGCTTCGTTCTCAGTCAAAAGTAAGCAGTAAATGCATTAAGGAGTAATGCAGGATAAGTTAAAAGAAAATACACCTTCCACTCACCTTCTCTCATAATAATGTATTATTATTATCATTGATGTAACAGTCTCTTCTATCTTTCTGGAGTCTTGATGGTGACTATTGAAGATGTCTCACTCACCTCCCACTACTCCCACTCCAACGCTGCTACGCCGTGTGCTCATTGGTGAAATCATTCGCCACTCTCCAGTACCCGGATCAAAATATTCAGCACTATCTAAACCTGCAAAGATAAGAAAACTAACGTTACACCATTCTATGGGAACTTGTCATTCTATCATCAATTACATCTCTCCTTTTAGGCTTTAACATTTCAGTAAAAATCATACAACATGGAGTAAGGTATATTATCATACCTCCATGTCAGAATTATGAAATCTGATTGGTCAACGTGATCTTGATAAAATACTGTGTAGCCTGCCTTGGAGGGTAATAGATTTTTCAGCAGGGGAATAAATCTCTCATAACACGCCCTGAGTGGTACAGGCTGCACGTGCATTTCTGAGAGACAAAATAAAGCCGCACGCTTTTTTCAAGTCAATGGAAGACACGTGTCATAGCACAAGTTAACCTCAGCTCAATCAAACAGCTATTTTCTATCAATTTTTAATTTCTGTTAATTCTTTTACAATATCACATTAAATCATGTCAGTGAGATAAATGTTTTGTAGCTGAATCACTCGGGGTACATGGGGTTTTATGTGTCCCACATTAGGTTTTATACCACAATTGGGTCATAAAACCCCATGTGCCCCTCGTGATCATGCTACAACTTATACTGCCACCTTGTAGTGTTATACTGTATTCAACGTAATAAACGCCCAGGGCGCACTCAAAATTTGAAATAGGGGAATCTTATTAGAATATTATTTTGGTGAAAAAAAAACAGTTGAAAGAGTTGAAAGATAAATTTCGTGGTTTATGGTGACAGGCTGACATGTTTATATACGACAGATATATTTTTCCAGAATTTAATTGCCCATAATTAAGGGGGCATATAACACACGAGTGTGTATTAAACACGAATAAATAAGTCTTGTGTACATTGATCAATCGGAAGGGGTGCTAATTGGGATTGTTCACTAGCCAATACATCAGCAAATATCGCCGTGGGCGCTTATTAGAGCGGGGCCCTTATTACGTCGAATACGGTAATACAAACCTTACCCAAACTCATATACTGTCACATCCCATACTGAATAGACAGTTCATAGTTTGGTTGCAATCTGCTGGTTTCTATTTGTTTCGACTGTAAATCTGATGGATGTTGAAACATTTCTGAAGCTGAGTATGCTATTTTCTTGCTCCCTTGACAACAATAGTTATGACAAACAGTCTCAGGGTCAGTAAAGGTAGAAACATTTTAAGAAAAAGTATTCATACACAGAGAAAAAATTCCACAATATTTCCAGGATCCAATCCAAGGTTCATAAACTCATTAGATTGTAGCACACATTATGTATACCTGTTGAGCCATCAAATCCTCCAACAGCATAGATATAGCCATTGAGCACAGCAACCCCAAGTGTGCTGCGACGTGCCTCCATGCTAGGGCATGATGTCCATGTGTCTTTCACTGGGTCATACACATCAACTGTCCGTACACGAAGAGATCCATTAAAACCCCCCACTGCATACACCTGACTGTTGAGAACAGCTACACCTAAAAAACAGGAATGTCTATGAATGTAGAAAGTCAAGGTCTACTCCAACCAACACAACTTAGTTTGAAAATTTAATGTTATTGACTAAGGCTGACTTTATTTATGTATCAAATCATTGTGTTTCCAAAATAAAAGGGTTCTTTTTCTTTTGATGAATTTTTCTAGTTTCATGTAATTATTTCGTTAAAATTTCAAGATACTAAGTTGAAATTTCAAGATACTAAGATGAAATTTCAAGATATTAAGTTGAAATTTCAAGTAATAATCTAAAAATTTCAATTTAGTATCTTGAAATTTTAAGATCATTATCTTGAAATTTTAACTTAGAATGTATCTTGAATTTTCATCTTAGTATCTTGAAATTTATACTTAACATCTTGATATTTCAATTAAAAAAAGTAAAAAAGGTAAATGGCCATAAAAGGTTTCTGTATCCAATAGAACATCTGTCATTGGAGATTGGAAATACAAAAGCGGTTCACTTAGCACACACAGACCACACTCATTTTGAGCATCCACTGTCTGCATCAATGGACTCTTCCTGCAGAGGCACCAGCTGGGACATTGACCTTCCAATTAATATACTGTGCTATCAAGTGACCCTTGAGCTGCTTGACATTCATCAGCTGATGGGGATACAAGAGACATTTCTTTTCCGAAATAGGATTGGTGTTGTCCCAACTCATTTGGACTCACTTACTGGCTTGCAGAGGGTAAAGCTTTTGTTTGTTCTACTTGGCCCATGGCATAATCACGAAAAAGGATTCAATCTGACCAAACGGACAATATAATTGACTTACAATTGAGGATATTGACTGACTGAACCACATTGCCAAATCAGTGAATGAAGCCAAATGGTAGAATTATCATGATATAACATTTATACTAAGTTTTCCTATAATAATTAGATCCACATCAAGTGCTTTTATGAGTTATCATGGTGTAATATTTATACTACATTTCATATAATTATAGTTTAGCAAGTAATACTTATCATCAGGTAAAATTCATATATACTGAACCAAATTAAAAACTTCATAATCCTAAAATTTTAACATTTTGACCAGTTATCATTGTGGGCCCTTATTGTGTATTTAAACAGTAATGGCCACGTATTGTCTTCAGATAACACCTGTTTTTGTCCAGGTGAATCGATCAAAATCATGTGCACAGCATTATAGTGGCAAAAGTGTTTTTTCACGTGCAACTGGTCACGTGGCCATAATACTGCACATGTTTTCAGCCATACTTGTTAGCAGTCATTAACAAAAAAAGAAAACAAAAGTCTTTACGGCCAATTGTCATGCCACGACTTTCAAATGTGCAAAGTGAACGTGCCATCGGCATGTTGCAAACGGGAACGTCCGTAGCTGAAGTCGCAAGGACGATGGGTTGTAGTCGACAGACTGTTTATGATTTACAGACGCGTCTACAGCAAACGGGTACCACCGCTGATCACCCTGGGCCAGGTCGACCACGTGTGACGTCACATGCAGAGGATCGTCAGATTGTCTTACGTCACCTCCGTAACCGATTTTTGACGACTACATCAACCAGAAATGAACTGTTTAGGGGTAGACTGAGTGCGCAAACTCTTGAAACCGTCTGAGAACTGCTCACCTTCAAGCACGACAGCCATACTGCTGGCCGATTCTGACTCAATGACACAGACGTCAACGTCAATTGTGGGCACAGTGACACTTACGGTGGACTCAGAGGAATTGTAATCAAGTCGTCTCTAGTGATGAATCCCAATTTAATCTTCGATTTGCTGATGGTAGGGCGAGGGTGTGGAGGCGCCGTCATGAACGTTACGCCCAGTGTTGTGTACAGGAAGTTGACAGATTTCGAGGTGGAAGTGTCATGGTGTGGGGTGCTTTCTGTGGCAATGCACATTCCAGGCTTCTTGTCATCCGTGGCAACCTCAACGCTGCTGCTTACTGCGACCAGGTACTGGCACCAGAACTTCTGCCTTTTATGGCAGCACATGACCCGGTTTGATCTTCCAACACGACAATGCCAGACCCCACAAAGCAATTTTGACAAGGAATTTCCTTCAGACTACGGGAGTCAACGTCATGGACTGGCCGTCAAGGTCTCCCAACCTCAATCCCATCGAACACGTCTGGGATGCACTCTCCAGAACCAACCACAGAATTTGCAAGATCTTGGCACCATTTTGCAGCAACAATGGCGTCGTCTTCCCAATTATGTCTTCACAAGCATCACAAGGTCCATGCGGAGGCATTGTGTGGCAGTTGTCAACGCACATGGTGGCCATACATGCTACTGAACTTGTGTGCCATCAGATTCTCGTTCTTGGGACTTATGATCTAAACTGTTACTACCGGTGCTTGGAACAAATTATGGTTACCACCGTTAATTAAAATCCTTCTTTGGACATTAATGATTAAAAATTACCTTCTCTAATACATTTGTCCGTTATATATCATATATGGCATTACTTTTAAAAATGTGAAGTTTTTAATTTGACTCAGAATATAAAATATCAGTAGTTTCAGTTATAGCTTTTTAGATAGATGCTAGCCTAAGGTAACGGGAGCGCATCTCCAAGACATACTATTCAATAAGACAAGAGTTATGTCTACATAGTTTAATAGATTTGAAGCTTTTAGATAAAAGCTAGCCTAAGGTATCAAGACCCCATCTCCCAGACAAAAGATATGTCTACATAGTCTTATAGATTGCCTTGAACTATTTTATTTAAGTAAATCTGTCATCACCTATATTAGAACATTCAGCAATTACTTATATTTAGACTCATTAAGGATTAGCCCCCATACAAGCTATAGTGACACCATAATCTCTTTCCAAGCACCCAGTAAATATGTCAACAAGGTTAGTGCCAGTCCAGCAAGATTAACAGGATTAAGTATTCCTCTCTGTCTAGCCATTCATTAACCATAGGGCACACCCCATCGTGTATCAACCAATCATATTAATTTTAATTGTTCTAATTTTTGTTAAATACATACAGAAGCAAAATGTTAAGCAGAAGGGGTTTGACGCTCAAACCAAGCAGATCTCTCTCCCACAGCCCAGAAGGTTGTACCGACTCTCTGTGGCACCCTCAGCTATATTCTAAGATATTGTTAAATGTTCTTGTAAATAAAATTTTGATTAGTCTCCTGGGACTCCGGCTCTTTGCTGACTAATTCCCCCAAGAAAACCAGCACGCCATTTGGAAGGTTTTGTTCATCCGAACAGAACCATAATAAAATGAATGAGTGTGAAAAGTGGACTGTTCACTTGTTCTGGTCACAACATTGGTGGGAAGAAGCTCTTTGGGAGATTGCACTGAAGGGTAACTGCACAATTCCTGATAGAGTCTGAGTTAGGCATGGGGACTGAAGACTGATTAGGTGGTGTGCTCAATGAAGATGTAACATGGTTGGCAGTCTCGAGGGTCTCCAGGATAGAGTTGAAGTGATTGCTGCCAGAGAACCTCCGAAAACATGGGTGTCTTGTCAACAGAGTCTACAAGCCACATACCACTGATATTCTTCACATATTTAGGCTTACCTAGACTTAAACCATGGCTTCTTTGTCTTGGACTGTGGTCTAACTAACTGAATTGTTAGTTAAACACCACTTGGCAATGACAGAACTTCTTTTTTTCCCTATCATTTATCTTGATGATAGAGTAATTTCATGAAAAACTGTGGGACATTAACAACTAAATATTTAGTTACATCAGGACTAATTGCTTATCCATTTATGAACTGCAAAAGATGTTTTTTTAGACAGTATGTTACTCTATGCATTCTAGTATTTGTTCAGAACTTGATTTGGTAGCTTTTTGTTCAACGAAACAAACAGTTAGAACAGAAATTACAATTATCTTGATCAGGGCTATGTTTGCTCATAATAGGCCAATCAGCATGGGCAAATAACAATTAGGTGATTGATAAAGGTGGTCGGTTGGTCCAAAATGAATGGTATACTTGCCCCAAGACATGCATTTCATAACACAAATCGGCAAAGTGAGAAGTGCAAAATGCAAAAGGCTCGGGGGACAGATTTCACTGCTTCATGGAGGGCCGACTCAAACAGTGTTCTCACAGTTGAGCTTAAAGTTTCTTTCAAAATACCTTTAACAAAAAAATGTTTTTTAAGCAGTTTAGGTGCTATAAATGTTGGACATGGTTTAAGTATGTTAGATCTCTCGGACCCCACTGTCCAATCATTGAAATGGTTGATTAAACCACGATGTGCTGTGGGTCCTCGTGCTCTAACCTATACATAAACAAACCTACAGAGGTCTTAAAACAGATGTGTCCATGGTATGTGACTTAATATTTTCCTGTTATCACACACACACACACACACACACACACACACAGAGAGAAACAGACACAGACACTCACATACACACACAGACACACACACACAGTTTTTAATGGATTGAGCATCTACCACTGGACCAAGACTGTAAATTCCTTACAAAGAAGTCTGAATCTGGTAAAAGTGGAACTGTCCTTCCACTGACAAGATGCCACTACTTGTTCCACTGATACTGTTATCCAGGCCGCCAAGGATGTTGCTAGAGCTCTAATTTCATGAGGACTTGATTTGGAAGATGTCAATTTCAATTCAGATGAAACACAAGCCTGAAGAATTATCTTCCTGAGCCATACAGCAATAGTAGGTTTAGTGATTTTGGAATCTAAAGTTTTAGGACAAGGTATCAACCAACGACTTCTAGTTTTCCTAAAGTTCTATGTTGTTCTATGAAGATACCACCTCAAAACCCTTACAGGACATAACAGCCTCTGTTTGTCTGCTCTAGGGAACTTGGCTGATAAAGATGGAAGTCCAACCTTTGTCATGAGTGAGAGGTGTATGATCCAAGGCATGTAATTCTGAGACTCTGGAAGCTGTAGCCATAGATAACAAGAAGGCTGTTCTATGTGACAAGAAAGTAATATGAGTATCTTGTGTCAGCTCATAAGGTGGTTTAGTGAGGGCTAACAAAACC